CTGGATGCTGTGGAGATGAACCTTTTTCAGAGGGAGAAAAGGATTTCAGAGTAGGAATTGGTAGGGCTGATCAGTAGAGCTTCAAACTAGATTCAAAGGAAGTGAAAGGATAAAACCTAGCCTAAGGGACAACTTGCCAACATCTGGGGGCCTGCACTCTAGTGAGATCTTTCAATATGTTTCACCAAGTGCTGGGTACAATGTAAAATGTTTGCAGTGTTTCTACACCAATGCACACAGCATGAGGAACAAGCAAGAGGAGCTAGGAATTTAGGCTCAGTCCTAGAGCTATGACACCAATGGCATAAGCAAACCCCCTTGGGAAGAGCCCTCTAAGTGGTATGTTGCAATAGACAGTTCTGAGCTCTTTCAGCAGGGACAGGCAGGGCAGGTGAGGCAGGGGGTGTGGTGTATGTGTGGAAAGAGGCAGGCTGTGCAGAACTCATAGCTGGCTATGACACAACTGTAAGCCCCCAGGTAAGGATGAAAGGTCAAATAAAGCAGACTGGCTACCCAGCTAGACACAGACTCTGAGCTTTGAGGAAATGGTCCTTCAATGTTAAACATCTCTCTTGGGCTCCCTGATCTTCCAGTGTTCTAACAAATGGGATACCTCCTTGAAGAGGTCAAAGTTGGCTTTCCTGAAAACCAAAGTTGCATTCCTACTTACATACCTGTTTTTTCCACACAAGATCCTGAACTCTGCTATTTTATGTTTGCTGCAGCCAAAGCTGCCACCAGTCTTCACATTCACAACCAGCCCTTCTTTGTCAGTTAAAAAAAAAAAAAAAAAAGTCCAGTCAATCTCTCCATGTTGGCTCTCTGCCACCTGTTTACAGATGTTATCATCAGTGCTCTGCAGGAACCTCCTGGACTGTGTGCTTGGCAGTGTTTCTTTTCCACAAATATCAGGATGACTGAAGTCTCCCATGAGAACTGATGCCCAGAACCGTGAGGCAATAAGGCCTCACCAACTTCCTCCTCCTGATCAGTCAGCCCGTAGTAAACACCCACAGTGGTGTCACCCATATTAGCCTGTCCCTTAATTCTCACCTGTAAGATTTCACTTTATCAGTGATCACTAGGCAGAGCTCAATACATTCCAGTTCTTCTCTTGCATAAAGAGCAATTCCATCAGCTCACCTCTCTGGTCTGTATTTCCTAAAAAGCAGCATTCTAGACAGGCAAGCTGTCCCACCATGTCTCTATCATCACAATGAAATTATGAACCTACAACCACACACAGATCTCTAGCTCTTTATATTTATTCCTCTTGCAGTGTAAATTGGTATACTGGCACTTTTCTGTTTTATTTAGTCAGCTACTGTCAGAAGAATCTACCTTGCATTAAAATGCAACCAAGGATATCTATGAGTAGCTCCCAGTTTTTATACTTTACACACTCATGTCTATTACTGCTGTAATTCATCTGGTAATATCTGTCAGACTCACTCAAAATGCGACACGTATCACTGTTATGTAAATTTGCACCGCACCTGCAAGACAAGGATGTAAAAAGAAAAGTACTGGGATGGGAAATAGTGGAATTTTTCTTTTGTGACTATTATGAAATAGAATGAATAAAATTGAGTCACTGAGGATCTTTAGGCAATTTTAAGCTTAAATGACTCATTTTTCAAATGAGAAAAAAAACATCACTTTGCCAGTCCCTTATGTACATATAAGTTAATGAGAAATGACTATAGTGATTCTTAAAGTTATATCAATTTTGAAGTTGTTAAAAAATTACCTTAGTGGCATACTGAATGCAACTGAGTGCCATATGTTACCAATTTGTGTTATCTAACTTTTAAATGCAAAAATGTTATCTCCACTGTCCACTCTTTTTTAATTATTTTTAGGTTTTTTTTTCCCAGCAAGAAGTTTAACAATGTTGTTTTTATTTTTCAAGAACTTAGAATAATTGTAATGACTGTCTTCCATACTCAGATCACTACTCTACAAAACCAGAAATGGACAAGAAGAAAAAATCCACTTCAAGTAAATGAACAGACCCATATTTATTAAATAACATAATGTAGTTGAATAGAATCTAATTGTTGAGTTGAATCTCGTTGCTGAAGCCTCAGTGTTTTTCTCTAGAGTCCAGGCTATTTACATGCTTTCAAGGTCAGCTTAGTCTCCATATTTTTAATGTCATTTTGAAAAATGTACATCAAAATTGTCTGATGATTCATTATAATTGGAGTTCATTCTCTAGTGTTCTGATTTCATCATTTCTTCCATCCTCTGCAGATTGTAAAAGACATGCAGGAAATGAAAAACAAGCATATGAAGATAATCAAACAACTGGAAAATATCAAAAAAGAAAAACAGGTAATTATTCTGGAGCCTGAATATCATTGTGTCATATTATTAGTCAAAGTGAAACAGATGGAATCATAGAATAGGTTGGGTTGGAATGGACCCCAAAGAACATTATGTTCCAAACCCCCTTCCACAGGCAAGGCCACGAACCTCCAGATCTGGTGATTGACCAGATTGCCCAGGGCTCCATCCAAACTGGTTTTGAGCACTTCCAGGGATGGAGTGCCTACAGCATCTCTGGCAGCCTGTTCCAGCACCTCGCCTCTCTCTCTGAAGAATTTCCCCCTGACATCCAATCTAAATCTTCACTCCTTCAGCTTAAAATCATTCCCCCTTGTCCTGTGACTATCCATCTTGAGAAATTGATTCACCTCCGGTTTATAATCCCTTTTAAATACTGGAAGACTGCAGTGAGGTGTCCCTGCAGCCTTCTCCAGGCTGAACAAGCTCAGGTCCCTCAGCCTGTCTTCATAAGGGAGGTGCTCCAGCCCTCTGATCATCTTTGAAACCTTCCTCTGGACCCTCTCTAACAACTCCACATCTTTCTTGTACTAGGGGCCCCAGATCTGGATGCAGTACTTCAGATGGGACCTCACGAGGGCAGAGTAGAGAGGGACAATCACCTCCCTGTCCCTGCTGGCCACCCCTCTTCTGATGGAGCCCAGAATACCATTGGCCTTCCAAGCTACAAGAGCACATTGTTGGCTAATGTTTAGTTTTCCATCCACCAGTACCCCCAGCTCCTTCTCCACAGGGATACTATTAATGAGTTCTTCTTTCTGTCTGTATACATATCTGGGCTTACTTGAACCCAAGTGCAAAATTTTGCACTTTGCTACATTAAACCTCATTAGGCTTACATGGCCCCTCCTTTCTAGCCTCTCAAAGTCCCTCTGGATGGTTTCACTTCCTTCTAATGTGTCAACTGCACTACTCAGCTTGGTGTCATCAGCAAACTTAATGAGAGTGCACTCGAGCCTGACATCAATATAATTGATGAAAATGTTGAAAAGCACCCGTCCCAAGACAGACCCCTGGGGGACACCATTCATAACTGGCCTCTAAGTGCACATAAAACCATTCAACATAACCCTCTGCCTATGGCCTTCCAGCCACCGAATATCCACTGAACAGTCCACTCCTCAAATCTGTATCTCTCCAATTTAGAGATGTATTGAGGGACCACATCAAAAATTTTGCCCGAGTCCAGGTAGATGACATTGGGTACCTTCCCTTTGTCCACCAGTGTCGTCACTCCATCATAGAAGGCCACTAGTTTGGTCAGGCATGACCTTGCCATGCTGGCAATCTCAGATAACCTGTTCATCCCTCATGTGCCTTAACATGCCTTCTAGGAGAACCTGTTCCACGATCTTTCCAGGCACAGAGGTGAGGCTCACTGGTCTGTAGTTCCTGGGTCCTCTTTCCTCTCTTTCTTGTAAATGGGAATGACATTTCCATTTTTCCTGTCCCTGGGGACTTCAACCAACAGTCACAATATATGGTATATATTCATATATGGTGTCAAGTGACTCAGCAACCACATCAGCCAGCTCATTTAGGACTCTGGAATGCAAGTCATCTGGCCCCATAGACTTGCATATATTCATTCTCATGAGGCAGTCTCAGACTTACTCTGCCCTTACAGAGGGGGAGCAGGGAGGATTTACTCCCCTAGTTTCCAGCTACAGGGCCAGGGATATGAGCTTCAGGGACATGAACAATACAAGAATCCTGGCAGTAAATGAAGACCATGGCAAAAACTCATCTACTACCTCAGCCTTCTCCATATCTGTCATAGCCAGTTATCCTTTCTCATTTACCAAAGGAGGTGTACTCTTTTTGGCCTGCCTCTTCTGGCTGTTGTACCTATTGAATCTCTTCTTGGTGTTTTTAACATCCCTTGCCAAGTTCAGTTCCATCTGATCCTTGGCTTTCCTAATCACTTCTCTGCAAGTCCGGACAGCATCCCTGTATTCTCCCCAGAATGCCCTGGGGAGAATATGCCCTTATTTCCACAGCTTGTACAATCTGTTCTTTTCCCTTTGTCTGACCAGCAGATTTTGTGCCTCCGCTTCCTGCTTTCTCATTCTGAGGGATGGAGAGCTCTTGTGCTCCTAGAGGGCATCCTTGGAGAGTAGCCAGCTTTTTTCCATTTCTTTGTCTCTAAGGACAGCTTCCCAGGAGATCTCATGCAACAATTCCTTAAACATCCTGATGTTCATTCTCCCAAAATTCAGGGTCCTGAACCCACTCTTTGCCAGGACTACGTTACTTGAGATAACAAACTCAGAAGGGGCATGGTCACTGCAACCTAAACTGCCTCCAGTTGTAACCTCTTTAATGATCTCCTCTGCACTGATGAGCACCTGATCCAGCAGTGCTTCCCCTGTGGTCAGTCTATCCAACACACGAACCAGAAGTTATCATTCATATATTCCAGAAAGTCTCCTGGATCTCTTGCAGCTTGCTGTACGGTTTTCCCAGCAGATATCTGGGTGGTTGACAAGGAGAAGTGCCTGAGCACGATGCCTTCTGCAGCTGAAGGAAGAAGGCATTGTCAGCAGGCTCCCCTTGATCAGGTGGTCTGTAGTGGGCCCCTACTACCAGGTGCCCTTTATTAGTCCTATCCCAAATTCTAACCCACAGGTCCTCAACCTGCTCCTTACTGTTTCTCAGAGGAAGATCCTTACAGTCAATCCAGTCTTTAAGGCAGAGGGCAAAACTAGGTAATAAATTTATTTCATTCACATTTGCTACTGCATTTAGTTACTCGTTGCATCCAATCTCCAAAAATGGCTATTTCTTCATTTTTTTTTAATACATTAGTATCTTCCCCATTCTGAATATTTATGCTGATGTATTTGCAGACTTTTCAGTTAATAAATTTTCCTGTTAAATGTCACTTTCTTCTGATGACTGACACAACTGTGTGAATTGATCTGTCAAGAATTATCTTTTTGTAAAAGGCTGTTCTAAGCCTCATTGCCAATGCAGAAGGTATTTCAGCCTTCTCTGTGGGCATGCTCTCTTTTCCTTTGCACTTGGCTCCTTTTCCATCTTTAAGGTTTAAATCCATTCTCTGTTTAGCTTAGTATATGACAATTTTTGTGAAGTTCATGAAGTTAATGAGCCCAATAAGGATAAATTTACCGGAAAACAACCCCAAAAAACATTTCATAGTAAAGCATTATACAAGTAGAATAATTCAAGTTGTTTCCAAAATATGAATAAGATTGTTTCCTTTTCTTTGAATCTTGGTTGACACACAAAGTAATGCTCATATAACTGGTTCTTTCAGCATTCAGACCCAGACACAGGTCTCCATGGATGTTTCAGTTTTTTCTTTTAGTGTTATGTAAATGTGGTTTAGAAAATCACAGAGGCCTTCCACCTGTAAATGTCCACAAGGCTACAGTAAGGATCCATAGGCTCCACTCTTGTGACTATAACTCCACAGTACCATGCTTTCCCTAGTGGAAGCATTTGTGCATTTCATTAGTCGGTAATTCTCCCCAGATCTGAATTACGTACATTTTGGGCTACATTGTACTGAAATCTTTTTCTTCAGCCTCCACTACTTTAATTCATCAGATTATTTTTCTTTGCCAATGAAGATCAAGACAGCCATTTGGTAGCTGTTTACATGTATGTTTTTCATAAAAATAAATTTCATTCTGTCCAGAGGGTACACACTTCCAAAGATTCCAAATTTATTTCTCTACTGAGCACAGACAGAATCATAGGGACTATAATATGTTTTTAGTTAAAATCTTTGAGAGCGAAGTAGTTCATGGAAGCACTGGAAATATCCCTACTTCTTAAGCTTTCTGATTTATTATAGAATAAATTTATTTATTGTATATGCATTTATATGTATATAAAATATATATATTTATATATATATGTATATGCATTTATTATACAATTCCATTGCCTTATTTAGAAAGATTCTTTTGCTGAGCTATTTTCTATACTGCTCGTATCTTTAACTTCCCATCTTTTATTTTCTTAGAAAAGCTAAATTTGTTTAAAATTGCTTAGCCATGCCTAGAGAGAATTCATTAGGGTCTGCTCTTCGAAAGACTTGTGGCTTCTGCAAAATGCAGGAGAAAAAATGATTACCTGAGCAGGATTTTTTGCCTTAAGCTTACGTCCTGTGAAGATACTAGCCTCTTGTGAGCAACACAAAAAATTTGCAGATTAAAAAAAAAAAAAAAAGAATTGGAGAAGGAAAAGTAATATTTTGCTATTGTATAAATGTTATTCATGTTTTCACTTTCCTGTTTTCACTCTGAATTCATTTTCTCAATAATCTTTTCTAATATAGGAGCAGACTGTAACTACTGTAAAACTGTATGGTGACAAAATGAGGAGTCTGAAATCTCAATTAGAAGCTTACCGAGAGCTGATGAACAAGAACAGACAATACTGGCAAAATCTAGCTAAGGTAAACAAGAAGTGAATTTTAATAGAAGAATAAGAGCAACAGAAACATATGGGTGATGCAGAAAGAGATTGTAGAAGTTGTGTTTTCTTTTCAGTGACAAACTGAAGATATAATTTGAGAAACTACTACAAAACCATAGCTGTCTTCATCTGGAGATGAGTAAAACCTTACACAGTACATTTTCAGAACAGTTTTCATATCTTCAGTTCTGTGATGAATACTTGGTGTTAAGTTCTCCCATACTATTTTGCTTATACACTTGAGAACAATTATGTTTTTATGAAGGAAAATAAAGACGTTCACTGAGTATTAAGGATATCTAATGCTTTTTTAGCGATGACCAGAAATTACCAGAATTAAGGTTTATCCCATTCTTTATATTCTACAACCAAGCAAAAATTTCTGCATGCTCTAGTTCAAATGTTCAAATTTCTCAACTTGTGTGGAGGAAAAACTAAAACAATCAAATAAATAAATACTGAAGACCTTTTTGAAAAACGAACACTGCCTTATTCTATTTCTTTCAGAGCCTGAGGGAAATTAACAGTCAACTGAGCCAAGAGAAGGAAGATCTTCTTCATCAAATGAAACAACAAACAGAGAAATGGGAAGAAAAAAAGGTGAAAACAGCTGGTTTGTTTTTTCTTCATGAAGTTAAACTGTGCCCTCATTTTCATTTCTAGTTCATGCTGTTCCCAACAGTCTAAGGCAGTCTAAGACAACAATTTGTCTTTAGATATGTACAACTAAATCAGCCAAGATTAATTGCTAGACACTTGTTTTATTTCAGGGAATAAAAGTAATTTGGAGGTCATTAGATGCCAATGAAGAAGATGTACAGGATTTTGTTCTATGTTATTTTTCCACTAAAAACTGTAATTGTCATTTCTCAGTCTTTTTCACTTCTCATGTCTTTTCAATAATTGTAAAATCACAGCAGAGTTGGTTTTTGTTGTTTTTTAATTTTTTAATTTAGCAAATGATATAAAAAATACACAAAGTCTTCATCTATCACAACAATGTAAAGCAGCTCGTTGACCTAAGCAGCAAAAAATAACTTGCATAATGTTTCCCAGGAAAAAGGGGCATATTTGCAATATTTCTTTCTAATAATGCAGTATCAGTTTACTAATGATCTGAGATGGCAGCAGATGCAGAAAAAGCCTGCAGAAAGCAGTGAACTGTAAGAGCAAGTAGCTACAGCAGTGGGTTAAAACATCGTTTCCACCCTTCTTCTTATTGTGGCCAAACTGTATTGCAGTCACATTGTCAGACGATTTAGTAATACTCAAACTTTGTTCTTACTGAGTCATTGATCATTGTCAGATATTTCTGTTTATTACAGAAGCAAAAGAACTAAAAACAAAACAAACAAACAAAAAAAAAGGCCTTGGGTAAAATAAATGTGTGTTGCAAGAGCACAGCACTCTCCCCTTATTATTTTTTTTTTTCATTATAATAATTCTTTTAAGGGCAGGGTTGGGGAAATAGGGGAGATGAGCTATTTCAGGCACATCCAACCAATGTTGCTCATGGGCCTCATGGGCCACGTGCAGTCTGATACAGCTCACGCTGTAGCCATGCAATACCTCATGCTATCACAGTGGCAGCTCTGCCCCACAGAGTGGCCCAGCTGCATGGGCTCCAGGGCATGGGGAGGGTACAGTGTAATGCCAGCTTAAGTTATGGCAAATAATTTTATGCATTTCAAATTGTCAGTCCTGTGAAAAGTGAAAAACATGCAGCCATGCTTTCCATTTTGATAAATGAATTTGAGGTTTCAGGATTGCAAAAAAGAAATTATTTTTGTTTATTTGTGACTCTATTTCCAGTAGGCATACATTTGAAAATTTTCAAATGGAATGCATAGAGCTGTAATGAAAAATTTGTTCACATCTCTTTATCAGTCTCTTACCAGAGAGAAATATCATTTGGTTTACAATCATGGCTCATTCATTTTGTCATTTTTTTGGCAGTATGAACATTTGTGAACAATTGTTTTCAAGGATGAAGTACAGGAAGAATAAAATTTCACCAGACATCTTAAGAATTCACTGAGAATTGCAATCACTGCCACTGAACCAGACTGATGCATTAATTTCACAAAAATACCAAAATATATTTTTGTTAGTCTGTTTTTAATATATTTTAATAAAAAATGCTAAAACTTCAAGTTTTATTACTTACATATATGAACTACCTTATATATTTTATGAGGGCTGCTCTGAAAGTAATGCCTTCTATTGCATTATGTTGTTCCACAACATCAGAGGCAGATGTTGGCTGTATGGCAGTTGAGGCTGAACTTTCTCACCAGTGCAGGTTCTTTTTCATTGCTAGAGAAAATGCATAGCCAATGGTATTGACTATTTTGAAAAAAAAAAAAAAAAAAAGTTGTTTTGTAGTTGAGAATTTGCTCTGAGACTACTGTGTTCTTTGTATTGGTTGTAGTTTCCTTGGAAATAATTAGGTAGTATTAATTTTGGAGCAGCACTTGTAGATGGAGCTTTCATCAGTTTCTCTTCATTCAGTGCAGCTTAGGAAAGCCAAAAGGTCAGACATCCGTGAGTTATTTAACCTGGGAAGATCTTGAGGCTGTAACACCAGACAATAACATGTAGGCAGTTAATTCCTTTATCAACAGTTGTCTTGATACACTAACAAAACAACATTACTCAATGTAGAACGTATTTGTTTTTAGTTCTGAAAACAAACAAAAAAAAGTTGTATTTCATTTAATGGTCATGAAATGCTCAGTGTTGTGCACTTTCAATAAAAGGTTATGTTCTTAAACAGTTAAATAGGCTGCTTATGTCAGTACTTCTGTGCCCAGCATGCTTTCAGGACTGAGCCCAAAATGCACATTAAAATAATTTAATTTATTCCTGGTTATATCAGAGTCCAGTTTCTTCCCTAATATGAAATCACTAACATGGACTGTGAAGTGCCAATTTTGGCTCCATACACAGAAAAGCCATAACCTTATAAATATTCCAGTATGTATTCCTTCTGTAAATTAAGCTACATTTATCTGTGGAAATAACAATTTAAAGTGATTTTCAATTTGATTTGTGTGTTACAGAATTTTGCCCAGTTTGACCTGCTAGTTTCTTAGTGATATCTTGTCAAGAATTGCTTTCCAAATAAATGCAAGGGTATTTTTCAGATTTACCTATTTTATACCTCTCTTCTGAATTACATGTATACCATACATTCTGAATTTCTTGTTACTGGAGAAAATAACTTTTTTTTTTCTTTTTCTAATATAATCTATGAGCATTTAATTATTGTCTGTTATTTTCTATATATATATATTATTATGCATAAAATATGTAAGTATTTCTGTAATTTTGAAATCATAGTCTGTATATCAATCAACTGTCACTGTACTACAATAGGGCATATATTCAGGATCATGTTGACACTCTTTTGAAGGAAGAAAAGTCTAAAAATCAGACTCAAATTTTGAAATAGAGTGCAGATTCCTATAGCATTTCGGAGTGAAAAATAGGAAGGAGTATTTTTTTACAATGCAGCACCATCTTTTGATGGAATTTTGAATGTCATCAGTATTTAATTTTTTTTTTCTCCTATGTTTTATGATATATCTCCAATATTAGCTGATTCCCAGTTGACAAACAGTGAAGACTATAGTTTTTTACAAATTCTTGAAATGTAGCATATTATATTTTAAGAAAGAATAGCAAGTGGTGAAGTTATAATGTTCTAAGATATACAGGAAGAAAGAACCTCTTTTATGACACCAGGTAGTACTATCAAGATCTGAAGCAAAGAAACTTTCCTTCTGTGCTGACTTTAGACTGTGTGTGCAAAGGATTTTATTTTTCAAATTTTTGTGAGACTTACTCTGTAATTTTTATCTCTTTAATTCTTGCAATGTGGGCAAATGTAAGTATTGGACATTTTGGTTAATTTTCTTGTGAAAATGGTAAAGTCTGAGAAGTCTCTGCTTTTCTTCTTTTATATTTTCTTTTATAGCAACAACCTGTTACTGCTCATTTCTCTAGGATGCGACTATCAGTGGCAACATTATTCCACTGTTATTAATTTTTACATGTATACTCACAAAGGAAATACAAAAACTGATGTCTTTCTCTCCTCTTTTCTTGCCTTTCAGGTCAGGATCCTTGAAAATCTGTCTAAAAAAATCAGTCATCTTTATGCCCAACACACATTGAGTGAGTTTTGTATTTTGGACATGAAATTTCTCGATCTTCCTATTTTCCCTCCTATTTTTCTTATGCTGTGGATTATACCAGACAAAATCTGTATAAGCTTTTCCATTACAATACTGTATTTCAGGTTAAATTAAAGAATTTTAGAGCCAGAAATGTCTATCATAACTCCAAACTCTTTAGTATAACTGGATTATTACAGTCAGGAAGAATTTTGTGTAGACTTCAACATTTGAATAGAATATTCTAACAGAATTCTTGATTGTCATAATTAATTTGTGCATTACAAATTCTTGATTTCTTAATGGAGACAATTTAGTACACTTAGACAATATTGCAGCCAGTGCATAGTCATAGAAATGCTCAACTTTTTCTTGATTACATCTTCTACTGGTTTCAATATAGCTTTGCAGGAATTTCACAATATCAGTCTGTATGTGGAAAGAGTGTCAGACCATGTGGATTTCCAGATCAAAATTCTTCAGCACAAATCTGAAAAGACCGAAGACTTGGAAAAAGCAGATGTGCTCATTTTAAAATCAAAAGCAGAACAAGTGAGTAACACAATGGAAATGAAATTGGTTGGTTTATAATTATTCCAGTTGTTTCAAAATATGTCAGACTGACTAATTCTAGAAAGGCTGAAGGAAGCTAGAAGACTGACAACAAAAAATATGGGAAATTTATATGTGCTTTGAGAATGATAAATTGGTGATAAATTATTAAAATACTATAGTAAGAAAATGAAGTCTAATTCTTCTGGAACCAAATAGTGTGCTGTTATCTTCATTATAATGCTAGTATACATTTTACTACAAAATCTTTTGAACATCTCTAGTATGAATTGTAAAAACTGTACACCAAACATTGGAAGTAAGCAACATCTACTTCTTTTAGATTTTTTTCCATTTGTGCTCTAACTTGATCATTAATATCTTGGAAAATTCATTCTGATGAACAGATTTTGCATTAACATTTTAAAATATATCTTTGTGGCCTCCCAGGGAGCTAATGAAGAGAAGTCTGAAAACTCGGTGGAAATGGGACCTCTGTGGCAAGCACACATCATACTGCAAAAGATACAGGAGTCTTTACGGAAACGAGAAAGAGAAGTTACTGAGCTCCTAGAAAGTGAAAGAAGATATAACAATGCAGTGAAACCTGAAATTACAGTCCTAGTATTCTTGAAAAATCTAGCTAAGAAGGTCGGAACTCAGAGACCGTAAAAGTGAAAAATGATTTGCTGAGTTTACAAAGAAGTTCAATTTGGAAAAATGTGTATTTTAATTAATTATATTTAGTGTTAAAAAATAGAAAAGCTATTTTATGCATATTGATTTAAAGGCTAAATGAAATTTTCAGAATTACACATGTAATTAAAGAAATCTAGACCCTCACTGAAAATGGACCTACAGAAATCTGATTACACCAATCTGAATACTCTTTTTAAGGGATTATTTTAATATATAAATTAGTGAAACTCAAAAATGAAATCATGGAAAAAACAGTATTTTTCTGTTCTTTCAGTTCTTATCTGAAAAACATGATTTGCAAACAGTTTTGCAGAAAATTTAATCTTATTTTTGATCCATGGTAGGTTCACACCTTATACTGTGATGTCCCTGAGGCACAGCAGTACATCAATCAGCTTGTCAGGAAGAATGAGGTTGAAAGGGCTGGTTGGAAAGAAGCCTTTAATAAAGCTCAGGCTGACATTTCGTCCTATGAAGTGCTTTATGGAAATGAACGTAGGGATGACAAAAGGTATGTAGGAGTGTTAATAAAGATAGAAATAATATTAAAAAAGTAATGAGTTGTTTCCATACTGAGAAAATACATTTTAAAGAATCTTATTATAATTTTCATGCATGGTTTTGAAATTGAAAAAAACAATCAATGTATTCTATAATTATATTAAAAAATTAAATCAAGGAGCTTAAAAACACCTTATAAAGAGCAGGAAAACAATTCAGCATATCTGTCTTATGCAAATTTTAACCAGTGTGTTATAAAATATACTGAAATAAGCTTATTTGGCAAGACTGTTATAGTATCAACAACTTCTTTTTCTACATTTTTCAGAATGTTTCTTCCTCATACTTTTCGTAATTGCACCCTTCTTGTAGTTTTAATAATTAGTTTCTCACAAAGTCTTCATTTTATTTTGAACAGCAACAGGACACAGTTCTCTATGAAGCTTTTCAGAAATCTTGGGAGAGCAAAGTCTGAATTAGAATTTGCTGAAACAGAGAAGATAGTTTTTGATTGTATCCAGACTGGGGAAATCCCCAACTGGATTAAAAGAGATTGTCCTTATGTAGTCTTGACAGGTGAGAAATCCTTTCATCAATTCAGAGAAGGCTAATTTATTTTTTATATAAGAAAACAGAGAACAGCAGTAGCATTTAAATTCATATTGTGGTAATGCCATATAATATCCCATGAAACACCTCCAGCTATATTCATTTTAATTAATTATTATATGAATTTATAAGCCTGGGACTTCATTTTCATATTTGTTTCTCTTTGCTCATCTTTTCTCTGGTGTCTTTATCATTTTAAAATCAGATGTATTGTGTACAATGTGTCTATCTATTTCAATGTGTGTTCAAGGTAGACAGATCCAGAATACCCTCTAGCTTAACATTCAGGCATTGAACACAATGGGAATTACAGAACTCAGAGAATAGTATAGAGAATAGACTACCGAAAAATCTTACAAAATATCCACTGCATGAATTTAATACATTGGCTCTTCTGAGAAGGAATAATTTTCCAATATTTTGCTTGTTTTTTTTTTTAATTATTTTGCAACACACAGTGGTTTTGGTGGTCTAGACAGGGAAAGAGGAATGGCTATGATTTCTATTTTAGGAATTACTATTTCTAATTTAAGATATTTACTGTGATATGTATTTGTCATTTAACTACATAATTACTGGAACTGCCCAGAAGACTATAAGGATGTATGCTCTAGAGAGATAAGTCAGCATTCAGAGGAAATAATGCAAAAGTTTGAAATGGAAATGAAGGTAATATATTACAATATATTATATCATATGGTTTTAAATCATTAAAATAAAAAATGCCATTCTTTTCTGTTCTATTCTTAAGGGATTTTAGATTTTCTCTAGAGTATCTTAAAGTACATCTGCAGACAAGTGGTAACTATATGAACTGAGTTTTTCCTGCTGAAGTTGAATTATAGAATCATAGAGTCATAGAATAACAGAATCATAGAATTGTTTGAGTTGTAAGGGACCCTTAAAATTGATTTAGTCAAACTCCTGTGCAAGGAACAGGGACATCTACAGCTAGATAAGCTTTCTCAGAGCCTAGTTCAACCGGACTTTGAATGTCTCCAAGATCAAAATATATGTAGGTTGCTCCAAAAGTAATGCCTCCTATACGAAGAACACAGTATCACTATTAGAGCAAATTCTAAGCTACAAAACTCTTATTTTACACAATTAGGTATGCATTTTGCCAGCAATGAACGAGAACCTGCATATCATGACCATAAAAATCTTCACCAATAGAGATGACCCACTGTTTCTCAGCTGCTATGATAGTATCATTGGTAGGAAAATGTTGCCCATGCAGTCCCTAATTCATCAGCTCAAACAGATGGAAATCAGAAGGAGCCAAATCCAGAGCATACTGTGTGTGTGGTAGGATAGTCCAGACAAAACTGGCTATATGCTTCATGGTCTTCAAACTGACATGGGGCCTTGCATCTTCTTGTAAGATAAAGGTCCTGACCTACCACAGGAAGTTCAATCCCTCAGCTTGGTCAATGTTGCAGTGTAAAAGTGAGAGCTGATGGTTTGCCTGGGTTCCAAGAAATATAAAAGAATCACACCTTTTCTATCCCAAAAGATATTGCACATCACTTTACCTGCTGAAGGCTGCATCTTGAACTTTTTCTTCAGTGGAGAATTACAATTATCACTCCTTACTCTGCTTTTTTTATTTTAGCTTGTAGTGGTGAAAACACATCTCATTGCCAGAAATGATGCAATCCAGAAAACTCAGAAAACTGATCTCAGAGTGGCTCAGTAGGTCCTGTTTCTGTTCCTGTGTGAGCATGCGTGCAAACTTTTAAATATTCCAACATGGCCACCTTTGTTTCAACATATTGAAGCTGATAACCAGCCTTGTGCACATTTCCCTGATTATAATCCACAAATTCATGTGGATGAAGTGATGCAGACACTCTGTTTCATGGTGTAATACCTGCACATGGCCATCTTGAACATGACTTTTCTTTCACATCGCTGATACCACTGCTGAAACTCACCACTCACCACTCCACTATGCTCACATCCACTGGTTAGTCTCCAAGCATCGATGAATGTCAGTGGGTGCTATTTTTTTCATCTTGGGGGAATTCGTTTACATGCATTTGCTTAATATGCACTTCCACATCAGACATCATTCTGTCAGAGTGCCTCTCTGCTGCCATCGGTCACACAGCAACAAAGAAGTAACAGAATATCAGAGTATTAGCAGAAGGCTCAACCTCCACTGACATAACACCAAAATCTGCTTCTGGTGCTGTGGGGTGGCATAACAAAATAGGAGGCCTTATTTTCAGAGCAGTACTTGTACTTTAATGATACAACAGAAAACAGAGTGTAATAAGAACCTTGGTATATTTTTGTTGCTGGACTCCAAACTGAACAGTCCCCAAATTGCCATCAATTATTATTTCTTTTACATTAATTTAGTTATAATGCTAAATTAATACACAGAAATTTTTCATTATTAAATGATGCACACAAAAAATAAAATGTTTACAATTATTAATTATGTCACTGATATTTTTAGGTGGTCAAGAAAACAATGGAACAGTAAAAAACACACCAACAATGGAACAAGTTTCCTGTTTTAAAGGGGACACTGGATGGACGTCTTGAATAATAGAAACATTTTCTACAGCAGCTTCGTGATAAAAAATTAATTGGAAGAACTTCAAGCCCACTATTTACTCTCAAGAAACTTTTGGAGTTTCAGTGTTTTGAAACTTTTAGTCACTTTAAGAAATATTTTGAAGACATCTTTAAATACAAAACAACAAAACGCACACACAAAGCCCCCCCACTATTGTATCCTGAAAGAGTTTGACTGAACAAAAGAGCCTAAATGCTTTATTTAAACAGATACAGATCTGTTTGTAAGTGGATGGGATTAATCTCACCAAATTTCTGATGTCTAAAATTATGCATCTAACATTTATCTATAAGAATAGAGAGATGGCTCCAAACTGTATTTTTTCCCAGAGCACGAACAGCTCTGTTCCACGGAGAGAAAGCTCAGGGTGAAATGCTGTTTGGGTGTTAAAATGTTAATAATAAGCATGATCTGTACAGATTAAACTAGGAACTAAAAAAAAATAACTTTTTGTTTATTTTTTTTGTGGTTTTGGTGGTGGCCTTTTGTTATTATTTTTTCAAGTAAAAGATTTACTCTTAGCTTTAAATGTTTTGGACAAAGAAAAGCACATTTGTACACAAAAGGAAAATTATGCTTATTTTTAAAGACCGTGCTGAAAGATGCATGGCCAGCTATAACAGTCATTGGACTAGACCACCATTCCACGTGAAAGCCTTCAGAGAAGTCCCAGACATGTTGCTTTTCTTTGTCTTTCCCTTTTTAAAATAATTATGTAGTGGGAACATGTTTTTAATTCTGCACATAATAAAATAAAAGGAATGAATCGCAGTGGACCACACCATATCTGACAGACCATGTTATGGCACAACTGTGAATTCTGTATATGGGCTCAGTTGAAAGTATATACCAGCAGAGTCTTTTTCAATCAAACAGATGCTTTTATGTATTGATGTCATGGTTACATGATTCTTGTTATTGGTATTATTTCATATTATCATGTGAAGCACTGAAAGTTAAAGAGTTAATGCCCCATTTATGTAGACTGCCGAATTTCCGGCTACCTGTTTCTCAGAAGGAAAGAAGAACTACATATCACAGAGGACTTTGTATCCTCTGCTTGTTTGAACAGCCTCCCTGTTTTCCTCCCAGGTGGCACTGCCTGTGCACGCCCTTCTTTTCTCTCAGGTTGACCAACAGATCCTTGATGAGCCATGGCGGTTTCCTGCCTCCCTTGCCTGTTTTCCTATCTCCAAAACAGCATAGAAAATAACAAATTCAAAGTGTGTCTTAGATTACATACATTGTTTGAATTTAAAGTATTCTGAATAATCTGAAGTGCTTTTACATTGTTCATCTATTCTTAATCAAGTGTTACTATTATGCTGCACTAGTGAAATATGGTGGGTTTTTTTCATTATATATCATTTCATATGCTGCTTCTCTCAATTATAGCTTGAGTTATTACAGACTTACATAACATGGCTCATAGTCAATTTACTTTCTGACACATTTTTCACTGCAAGAGCTTTACAACTTGAGGGGAGGTAATCTTGAGTAAAGACTTAACAGCACCCAGGAGATGAAGCTGGTCACATACTCTTGAACAGGCAAATCTATCAGCTACATGCATGCAGTAAGAAGCTCTGGTATATTATAAAAACATGCTCAAGAGAAAGCTGTCATCTTTTAGACAGATAAACATAATTTACTTTCCTAAAGAAAGCCCACAGTGACTGCAACTGTGTGGATTGTTGCTCTAATGAAAGTTACCATCTTTTTCTGCAATCTTTATTTCTCTTGACTCTAAAGATCAGCACAACTGTAAGGCCTACCACTATTCAGACATGGTTTGCTAATTCTTGGCACCTATTTCTGAATTGATATAACCAGTACAAATTCAAACCAAAAAAGAATAATCTTTCCCTATCTAAAGTATTTCTTAATTTTCTGGTTCTTCTCTATCTCATTTGAAAGTTAACATTTAAAGTTCCTCTGTATAAAAACAGGAAATATTCAGCTCTTTCTAGAAAACAAATTTCACCTCCTCCTCCATGGTATAACTCTTCAAGAAATTAGTTACTGTTATGGTTCCATTTTCACTTCTGACATGTTTTGAAGTAGGTAGTTCAAAACTAACTCTATCCTACTCCCTCTTAGGCAACTCTTCATTCATTGATTCTCAGAAACACTTTCATGAGTAATACCTGTTATAGCTGGCTTTTCAGAAAGTGTCCACTGCTCAACACTACACACAGATCTGATGAAGTTCTGCATAGATTTGCTTTTTCATTGCAAGTATGAAGCCAATTAGTAAAATAAATATACTAATTTCATTAAAAAGGTGAAAAATGTTCTGAGCGATGTCAAATATCACAAGAAATAATAAACAGGTGTAAATTAAATATCAAAGATTTCATACAAAATTACATGATATTCAAACATAGTAGGGAAAACACAATTCTTAAATCATTCTTAGCAAAGTATTTCTACTCCTGAATTTTGAACAAAGAACTATCCTTTTCCTTCACACTGTTCAAAATACTGCCATCATTAATTTTATGTCCTCTCTACAGAGATGACTGTTAAAAAATCAGGAACTTTAGAGTCAAAGCTAGGGAGAAATGTATATTCTGGAAAACGTGGAAATCTGAAGGCAAGAAAAGGTTCCAAAATAAACTTCTCTCTGTCAGAGCTCAAAATATTACTCAGTGGTTGTTTTAAAGTGCTACCATTTGTACCAAGGTAAACATTTTAGCTCCACATCCTTCCTTTTATTTTTTTTTAATAAAAATTGAAAAAGTTATAGTTATGAAAAATCTTGGAAACTCTGACACACTGTTCTGTCACAATCAATCAGAGAATCAACAAAGCTGTAGGTACCTGTGACTGTGAGTGGTTTGTTTTCACAAGTCCCTCATAATACTGCCTATATGCTAAACTGAATACCAGTTTTATTAAAGTATTGATCTGTCATTCCAAAAGTTATGCACTAAAACTTATATTCTCTTATAACTGTATGTCTGTACATTATCTGCTTCTTCTAATCTGAAATACTTACTCCAAAAAGAACACTCTACAATAGAAGCACGCCTATGACAACGTTTTTACGCAAACAATTTGATAAGTTATTGTAAATATATAATCCTTGGAATGCAATATCTGTTCTCAAGCACCATTAATATAATTATGGCCTGTTTCAAGTGAGGTGCTTGTCTATTTTTCTGCCATAAGACCATTGGAATGCAAAGTTAGAGAAAAGAAATAAGGATGTACATTTCACTAAAACTTAGATACATTATGGTGATGATACTCAAGAGAAAAACCAGCTGGTGTATGTGATAAAGAGAGTAATTTTAAGTGCAACATCATGAACACATCACTCCTCAGGATGTAGCATCATTGACCACCAGCCCAAGCATTAGACAAGACTAGCCCAGTGGCAATCCACCCTTGGGGAATTAAAAAAAAAAAAAAAAAAAAATCAACAACAACAACAAAAAACAGTAAATATTTGCAAAATACCTACATGCTAATTTCATACAGGATGCACATACAGACCACCAGTTGGTTTTCTGTGGCAGTTAGACTGTTGATGTATATGGCAGTGAGATACTTAATGACAGTTTAAAATTAGCATTAAAGAATTGAAGTCTTATAGCAAGCCAGAACTGTTATGAGTTCAGTAAGTATTTTTAGCAGTCTACAGCTATTGATCTACCTAGTGTGAGGCAGACAAATATTATATGAGGTCTTCTCTGAAAGTAATGCCTCCTATTTTATTACTTTGTCTCAGAATATCAGAGGTGGATGTTGGTGGTGTAGCAGTAAAAGCTGAACCTTCCCACCAATATCCCATTACATTTTATTGCTGTGTAACAGATGGCAGCAGAGGGGCACTCTGATAAACTGGTGTCTGACATGGAAATGCATACGAAGCAGAGGGGTGGAATTGAATTCCATCATGCAGGAAGAAATGGCAGCCACTCACAGTCATTGACACTTGCTGAATGTCTATGTTAGCACATAGAGTGGATGTTAGCATAGCAAGGTGGCAAGTGGTGCATTTCAGCAGTGGCAATAGTGACAGTGGGTCACCTCTGCTGGTACAGATTTTTACAAGTGCAGCTTGCAGGTTCTTGATCATTGCTGGTAAAAATGCACAACTAATAGCAGTCAATAGCACAATAGCATTTTGTAGCTGAGAATTTACCCCATCAAATAGCATTATTGTGCCCTTTGTATCTGTTGCAATTTCCATGGAAATAAAAGGAAGGCATTACTTTCAGATCAACTTATGTACATATAGCAGAGTAAAACAAAATGAAACAACCAAAATAAAATACTTTTTAAAATTAAAAAAAAAGACATTTTGTGAAGATATTTCTCAAATGGAAATAACTTTTTAATTAACTCTGTTGGTTAGCTTCATTAACAATTTAAAGAAATATCTCTTGTGAAAACACTGTAACAGTGAAGGTTTGACAGAATTTCTCTTCTTTTTCTAAATTATCTGAATGTGTAATATAAATCTCATATTTCATCTTTCCTTTGCTTTATCCCATATCTCTGCAAGATTTCTGAATCAGTTTCAAGGTTTAATAAGCAATTGTTAAAACTGATAGCTTTTACATATTTTCATGATTATGTGCAGATATAGAAGTAATTTCTTTATAAGACAATTGTTTTTACTTATTTTAACTTCAATATTAAGGGTGAGAATTAATTTTAATTTTACAGTTTCACAAAATAGTATCTTATACAGCAACTGTAACATACTTTGAATTAAGTCAACCAATAAACCATAAATAAGAATATTTAATGCAAGTTCTGTTTTCTTTTGATAAGAATCATAGAACCTAGAATCCTTAGAGTTGGAAGTGACCTTTAAAATGTCTAATTTTTTTAGCACAGAAGAAATCAAACAGAAATACTGAATCCAATTAATGAAGTAGTGAATACTTTTAACACATGTTCATAACAATTTATTAATGAAATTGCATGTAAATATTCATTAGCTATTTTTAAATAAAACATTAGATTCCGGACAAAAATAAATAAATTGGATGC